AAAAAAAAAAAAAAAACCAGACATAGGTTTGTAATAAAACTTCTATATATATCAGAGCAACTTTCCAAATTAATAGGAAAATGACAGGTTATTCGCTTTGTGATGTTGACAAATAGCCAATTATTTAAAAATGACAACTAGGGGCTTCCCTGGTGGCTCAGCGGTAAAGAATCTACCTGCCAATGCAGGAGACGAGGGTTGGATCCCTGATCCAGGAAGATCACACAGGCCACCGAGTAACTAAGCCTGTGCATGACTACTGACCCCAGCCCCCTAGAGCCCCACGCTCCACAGTAAGACAGGCTGTAACATGAGAAACCCTCACACTGCAACTAGAGTGGCCCCTGCTCTCGCAACAAGAGAAAAAGCCCATGCAGCAGCAATGAAGACCCAGCACAACCAAATATAAATAAAGAAATACATAAAATGAAACAGATTAAAAATAAATAAATAAATAAAAATTTTTAAAAAAGAAACAAAAAATTTTTTAAAACTGAATCTGCATCCCACGTATGTGTGCTCAGTCGTGTCCAACTCTTTGCGACCCCATGGATTGCAGCCTGCCATGCTCCTCTGTTTATGGGATTCTCCAGGCAAGAGTACTGGAGAGGGTTCCTGTGCCCTCCCCCCAGGGGATCTTTCCCACCCAGGGACTGAACCCACATCTCTGTCTCCTGTATGGTCAGGCAGAGTCTTTACAACTGGGCCACCTGGGAAGCCAGTCTGTATGACATACTTGATAACTTCATGAATCCTACATTTTAATAACTTTAAAAGAAAAAAATATTTCAGGGAATTCCCTGGTGGTCCAGTAGTTAGAACTCAGGGCCTTTACTGCTGGGGAGGTGGGCATACAGAAATTAATTAAAGGCATATGTGAATTTTAAAAATGAAATAATGTCCTAAAAGAAAATGTAAGTGATTAGTCATATAATGTTAGTACCTTACTTTCAAAGAGTCTCCTCTCCACAGAATTCTATAATCAAAATACACCATAAATAAATGATAACACTCAACTGCTATCATTGTGAATGCAAAAAAATTGGTACATCGTATACAAATGTCTTATACATATGTCTTCTACAAAATGTCTATAATGGTAAAAACTATCTGGAACACAGTATGACAATTCATTTTTTAAATACTGGAATTCAAAAATCTTTGATTTAGTAGTTCTGTCCTAAAGAAATAAATAAGTGTACCTATATACAGAGTTAGCTCTAAGGATATTCATTCTGCCAGTCTCTATAATGGCAAAATGTAGAAACAATCTCCAACAATAAAGTATTTTTTAGTAATGGTACACATTTATGAAGAAATATTATACAGCTATTAAAAAAAGAAATATTATACAGCTATTAAAAATCATGTTTCAAAAAATGTACTATAATAGGCCAAATGCTTAAAGTGTAGTCTTAAGTAAAAAGGGTAGATTAAAAACTTATGATTCCAAACTTTATGAAAGTTACCACACGTGCAAAGACTGAAGTGTTTTTTTTTCTAGCAAAATTCTGTGGTGATTATCTCTGGGCAGTAGAATTATGGGAGATAAACTCTGGTCTTTGTACTTTTCTCACTTCCTCAATTTTCTTCAGTAAAACACTCTTTTAATAAATATTTTTCTTTTAAAAAACAGTTCTTTTGCATTAAGTAAGACAGGTAAGCAATTAGGTAAGCAATTAGATAAATAATGAAATAAGTTTAAAATTCTTATACTTTTACTCCACAGGATGATCGTATGACTGTTAGAAGCTTTTTTGGTCAAACTCGATTTTATAGTACTGAAACCTCAAGCTGCCAAGAAATAACATCTGTCAGTGTCTGCTTAAAGGTTTCTACATTTTGAAAGAGGCAGGTGGAGTTAACTTTCTTCTGGGAAGACAATAATTAACTATCAAGTGCAAAGAAAAACTTCAAGTGCAGGAATTTAGAGCCACTGAACATTACAGTTTTCCAAGTATCACAGGATAGGTCTTGTTCTGCTGATGACAAAGAAGGAAATTTCATATGAAACAGGACAGAAGCAGGAAAAGCAGCCAGAGCTTGTTTTTAAATGCAGATAAGGGGCTTCCCTAGTGGCTGAGTGGTGAAGAATCCAGCTGACAATGCAGGAGGCCTGGGTTCAATCCCTGCTCCAGGAAGATCCCACAGGCCATGGAGCAACTAAGCCCATGCACCACGACCTATTGAGCCTGAGCTCCAGAGCCCAGGAGCCACGGTGACTGAGCCCACGTGCCTGGGAATCCGCGCTCCGCCACACGAGAAGCCGCAGCAATGAGAAGCCCATGCACCGCAACAAAGAGCAGTCCCCGCTGCCCAGCGAGAGAAAGTGGGCGCGCAGCAGTCCACAAATATACTTTAAACAGGCTTCCCTGATAGTCGGGTGGTAAAGAATCCGCCTGCAATGCAGGAGACCTGGGTTCGATCCCTGGGTTGGGAAGATCCCCTGGAGAAGGGAACAGCTACCCACTCCAGTATCCTTGCCTGGAGAATCCCATGAAGAGAGGAGCCTGGCAGGCTACAGTCTGTGGGGTTGCAAAGAGTCAGACACGACTGAGTGACTAAACACACAATATATGCACTTGTATTACAAATATTTTTAAACAAATCAAAAATATGCATATGTGAAAAAATAGTGTGTGTATACACCTTTTTTTAATGACTATAATATTCTTATACTTAGCTCTATCTCAGATGTTGGAATTCTGTATTTGAGCTTCAACAGCTACTTGGTGCCTGCTAATAATGTTTATTATAAAGCTCAAAACCACAGACTAGTTAACAAGGTACCAAAACAACACAACTTCGTAGGGAGGAATAAATTTGAAGCAGAATATTCATCATTTTTGGATGTGGAAGAGAAAACTTCTGTCATGTTATGACATATTCTGCAGTTAACTTATTCCTTTGGACTAAGAAACTAGGCTAGAAAAAAAAATTTCTTCACCTATGGGAAAAAAGTCCTCTAAGGAAAGCTCAATTCCCATTTGTCTTCCACACCCAGTCTCCTCTCACCTAGGACATCCCTCTAGGGATTCTCTTGTAAAGCTTCCCTCTCTACTAGATTACTTCCAACAGCATACAACATCCTCTTAACTCTTTCACCTTAAAAAAAATAAAAAGTCCTCTCTTGACCCCATTTTCCTCTCCAATTACCACATTCATTTCCCTCCTTCTCTTTACAACTTTTCAAAAGAACTGTCTGTACTCACTGTGTTCAGTATTATCTCCTCTAATTTGCTTTTGAATTTACTAAAATCAGGCTTGAATTCTGGAAAAAAAAAAAAAAAAACCTGTAAAGGTCAAAGGACCTCTAGCAAGCTAAACCTGATCATCAGCTGAGCCTAAGTCCTAACCTTACTTGATCCATCACCATCATTTGACACAAGTGATCTCACTCTCCTTTTTAAAACATTCTTCTCTTGGCATGCAGAACATCACAGCCCCCTGAGTCTCCTTCCACACCTTCTCTCTTGGTAATCCTACTTAATATCATGATTATAAATATCATACACATGCTGAAGAATCTCAGTGCTTCAGTCCAGGTTTATCTCATCTAAATTCCAGTCCAGCATTTACAACTGTTTTCAAGACATCCCCACTTCATCAGATATCTCAAACTTAGTATGCCCCAAACCAGCTCCTGATTGCCCACAAACCATAAGCCATTGTATAGCTCAGACCAAAAGCCTCCACATCAACCTTGGCTCCTGTCTCTCAATTCTAATTAATTCATCAGCAAAACTTCTCAGCTCTACCTTCAAAATATATATACACTGCTACCAGTCCAAGCCACCATCTTTGGCCTATAATCTTGGAAAAACCTAATCGTTCTGTTGTTCAGTCGCTAAGCCGTGTCCGACTCTTGCAGTGCCATGGACTAGAGCCCACCTGGTTCCTCTGTCCATGGGATTTCTCTAGCAAGAATACTGGAGTGGGTTGCCATTTCCTTCTCCAGGGGATCTTCCTGACCCAGGGACCAAACCCACCTCTCCTGCGCTGCAGGTGGACTCCTGCGCTACAGGCAGATTCTTACTGCAAAGCCACCAGGGAAGACCAAGAGAAACCTAGGAACTTTTCTACAATCTCCCAGTTCCTTTGCGAAGACTCAGTCCAGGCTAAACTGTACACTAAACCTGAAATTCTTAACTTTCCAACTAAGATCCATCAGACTACTGCATAAGGAACAGCAGCTTCACCTGAACACAGGGTTGAACTGAGCATGTCACTGGGGACTGGGATGCATAATCTCTAAAGATTCTTCCAGTCTTAAAAATTCTGAGTGATTTGTTAATTCTGCATGGTGTATACATAAAAATGGGCTATACTAGTCTCTAAACTTTCCTGTATTTTTTGCTAGACATTACTTTAAATAAAAACTTAAGAGTGTATCTTGGTCCCCTACTACAGTATTCATGGTCTGAGTTCTCCCCAGAATATCTCCTTGTAACTCATTCCTCTAGTATCTATTAAATCACAAGTGTCATATCCCTATCAGAATTCATTGCATGTGGATAAAAGTGGGAGACTATTACCTAATGCTTATTATTAGCCCATCTTGTCCCTCAAATGACAAAGACTATAATTATAGTTGTGGGATGTCATCTGTATATTCCTAACAACTGTAGGAAGGAAAGAAAGCTGCTGAGAAATTCACAGTATATTTAAAACACAATACTCCATATAAATGAAAGAAACTCATCTGCTACACACTGAAAAGTAACTTTAATTTATAGCTTTCAAAAAGTAAAACTAAAAAAAAATTAAAAAAAAAAAAAAAAGTAAAACTGCTCAGCCATGACAAAATACAATCCCTTAAAAGAATTCTCTCTGCATTATAACACTCAATGCCTGTGACATTTTTAAATTTACTTTTTCTTGGAGTATAGTTATGTCATGTTAGTTTCTACTGTTCAAAGTGGGTCAACTATTCGTATACGTGTTATCTCCTCTTTTCTGGATTTCTTCCCCATTTAGGTGGCCAAAGAGCACAGAGTAGGGTTCCCTGTGCAATACAGCAGGTTCTCATCAGTCACCGGTTTCACACACAGTATCAGCAGTGTGAATGCGCCATTCCCTGTCTCCCAGTTCTTCCCAACACCCTCCTCTACCCCCTTGGTGTCCATGTGCTTGTTCTCGACGTCTGTGTCTCTGTTTCTCTTTTGCAAATAAGATCACCTATACCAGGCCTATTACTGTTTAATGACACTTTTTACTAGAATATGGAACTTCATACATTTGCTGTTGTTGCTGTTCAGTCACTAAACCATGTCTGACTCTTTGAAACTCCATGGACTGCAGAACACCAGGCTCCTCTGTTCTCTACTACCTCCCGGAGTTTGCTCAAATTCACGTCCATTGAGACGGTGATGCTCTCTAACCATCTCAGCCTCTGCCGCCCCCTTCTCTGTCTGTCTTCAGTCTTACATTTAGCAAGCCAAAATACAGGTGAATTTTCTTTTTCACATAGAGGAAAACATACTACTTTATACTAATATTATCTATACTAAATCTGACCTTCTGATATTATACAAAGCACCTAAGTTTGAAAGCCTAGTTCAGTGATAACGTTAATGGCAAAGGAAATCCTTCTGTTGGTTTTTTTTTCCTACTACTTTGATTAGACTGTTACTCTTCATACTAATGGAAGGAAAAGTAGGAAAAAGGTTGAAATCAAGCAAAAAATCTTCAATTTCAGTACCGACAGGTTTATGTCTTAATTTACCTTTAGTCAATAAGGTCACTAAAATTGCTAAAATACAAACAACTCAGTTAATCATTAATTCAGCCTGCTAAAAGGAGCACTGAGCCTTAAGGAGTGATTACAAGCCCACACACACAGGTACTTATGCACCAAAGCATGAGAACTTAACATTGCGAAGACTGCAGAAAGACGCTGGTGCTTGTTGGAATATCTGATCTTCTTTTCTCCAATAGCAGCCTGGAAAGTAACAAAATATAAGCAAATAAGATGAACTATCACCAGAAACACCAGTCTCTGCACAACTTACCTAAAGTCTTGGTGTTTGCTAGGAGAGCTTCTTCATAAGACAGAATATAATAAAGCACCAAGAGCTGTGCTGTGATACTGAAACGCTGATTAAGGCGGATGTTGTCACCCTGGAGGTAATATTATAAACACTTTAAAATACTGTTAAATTTCATGAGTGCTTTTTTTTCCCCTTTGGCCACAACAGGCAGTATGTGGGATCTCAGTTCTCCAACCAGGAATAAAACTCCTGCCCCCTGCATTGGCAGCACAGAGTCTAAACCACTGGACCACCAGGGAAGTTCCAGTGAGTACTTTTTGACAGTAAAAGCACTCAAAATAGATTATGTGGTGTTGCTGCTCCCAAGCTTAAAGAAACTGGGAGAAATGTTGCTGTGTCCACATTAAACTCAAATCGACAACGTGAAGTTTAAGTTAAATCTGAGACGGCTTGAGAGATAAAAGGAACATACTGAACAGTTTTTAAAGTTCCCTGGTGGCTCAGACAGTAAAGTGTCTGCCTGCAATGAGGGAGACCTGGGTTCAATTCCCGGGTGGGGAAGATCCCCTGGAGAAGGAAATGGCAACCCACTCCAGTATTCTTGCCTGAAAAATCCCATGAACGGAGGAGCCTTGTAGGCTATAGTCTACGGGGTCGCAAAGAGTCGGACACGACTGAGCGACTTCACAGTTTTTAAGATAGGACTGCTTCTGAAAAAAGTCTACACTTATAGGAATCTGAAGTACTATCTGAAATTACCATGAAGAAAATAATTCCTAAAAAAAAGATACTTTTTTGGAGAAAAAAAGATTTACTCCAAATTTCCATAAATAATCTAGGTATGTCTTAAATTCTCAGGAAGCTCGTAAAATATGTTGAAATGTCACATAATCCTCTGTTAAACACACAACCTCCAGGGCACTCCTTAAACTTTAAAATGGAGCTTTTGAAAGAATTCTTCAAAAAGTGCCTAATCAACATAGAACTAATACCATTCTTTTAATATTCATAAGTGATCTAAAGAACTGAATACCATTTTAAATAATAATCTGGGAAAAAATGTGGAGTGTGAAGAACACAAAAGAAAAATGAACTAATAAATGTTAAAAAAAAAAAAAACACACTATTTTACCCCAATGACTCCTTGAAAAATATTGAGTATCTCCTGTTCTGTGACCGGCTGATTTGTGGCTTCTGGATTAGATTTAGATGCAGGAGTAAGTATAGAATTTATGTACACGTCAATCAGAGGAAGTAATTGAGGATGGAGTGGAATGGAGGTTTCACAGAGCTGTCTATAAATCCAGTCCTAGAAAACAAAGTGACAGGCACTAAATTAATTACGGCAATAAGAAAAAGCAAGCAAAATTTTACAAGCACATATAATTTTACATGATTTATGAAAAAGTAAAACTATTAACTTTTAGCAGTTGCTAAATAATATCAGCCAGTTTCATAACTGCCTTTGATTTGAAAATGGAAACAATTTTTCTTTCCTAAAATTGACAATATTATTCCATGGAAGATAAACCTAAAAATGACAGCTTGAGTTTAGAGTTTGGACTTCGGGTTTTTAATCTATTGGTTTTTAAGTAGTGGGGAAAACACTATAAGTCCCTTCTGTCTCTGTATTTGGAGCACCATACATGCTGCTGTAACAGACCCCACAGCAGAAAGGCATTTAGGGAGAGGAACAGTTTCTCACAACAAACCTCAGACAGATTAAGAAAGTGGCTTTGACAACCACATATGGGAGATTAATTATCTGCACAAATACAGGCCAAGAAGAAACACTGGGGGTGCATTTGGACTCTTTAATTCTTCTCTACTTCACTTGCAAAAAATATAAAAAGCAGAAGATACAATCAAGATGGAAAACAACTTCACTACATCATAAAAACAAGGACAATCAAATGTGATATAGCAATGCATATGTTGTTCAGGGTTCTTTATAAATAAAATAGCCTCTTAGAAAGGGTTCAAACAAATTTTTTTCTTTTTTAACCTCCTGTGGATTCAGCCTTTTCTCTAGAGAACCTATTTGCTATAGGCAATTATATAACAAATTGAAAACATGTCAAAATATGTGCAAGTTTAATGTTAGAAGTCCTTGTGACAAATGGACTACAAATACTGATCATGGCTAACCAGCAACCTTCTGAGTTTGGTAAACAAAATCAAGTATAAAGAATGGAAATTTCTTACTAAAGTTTAATGAAATTGCTAAATATCATTGAGAATTTAAAAGGAATTAGTACCACTGTACATTTTGTAAATTAACTGAACAGTTATGCTGTTTTAAAAATCTGAAATTAACAGCCTAATTACTATAACTATATAACTAAAAACATTTCACATACAAAATCCACAGTAAAGGTCTGCAAACTCAAACAGAACTGGGAAAAAACATTAACTCAGATTTTAGCTTGAAAAATAAATGTAAGATCATACTTTTATTGATACTTTGTGTTTGGTGAAGGAACGACTCCTCAGAAGCTGGTAAATGCAATGAATAGGCAAAAATCCAGTAATGTTGGCACTCAGGTTGCTGGTGACAGGGACTCGAACTGCATGAGCTGTGACAACCTAAAAGGGAAAAATAGTAGCAACACATATGACAGAACCAGATACAAAATTATTCTGAAAGAGGGAGAATTGATGGTGGACTATCAATACTAATGGGGTCCTTTGGCGGGAGTGACAAAACCAATCATGACATGATTGAATTATTTTGAGTAATGAGGTACCATCACACATCTGGGAATTTGTAAAGTTCTCTACTTTTTAAAAATTTACTTCTAAACACAGATACATTGCCAGGGGTTAGAGTAAAGTTAAAAAATATGTAAAATCTGGAATCATAAAATCTGGGCTCAATGACTATAATATATAAAACAGATAAACAACAAGGATTTACCATATAGAACAGAGAACTACATTTAATATAATAAACTGTAATAGAAAAGAATCTTAAAAGAGGGAGGGGACGTATGTATACGTATGGCTGATTCATGTTGATGTTTGGCAGAAACCAACACAATTCTGTAATTATCTTTCAATTAAAAAATAAACAAATAAGAATATAAATATATATATATATGTGTATATATATATATATACATATACACATATATATGTATAACCGAATCACTTTCTTGTATATCTGAAACTAAATAATACTGTAGATCACCTATGGTTCAATTTTTTTTTTTTTTAAAAGGAAAAAAAAAGAATAGTTTCCATCATTGAAAAAATAAAATATCATTAGGATCATCCATGGACAAAAGTGCTGAGACCAAATAAGAACAAGTCAATACAAGAATAAGGAACTTAGACTCTAGTTTATAACTTAGTTAGACACGGCACCTTACAGCTGAAAGGTTTAAACAGATTCTCCTGACAATCCTAATTGTCAGTAAACTTCCCTGGTAGCTCAGATAAAGAATCTGCCTGCAATGCAGGAGATCAGGTTTGATCCCTGGATCAGGAAGACTCCCCTGGAGAAGAGAATGGCTACTCACTCTAGTATCTGGCCTGGGGAATTCCATGAGAGAAGCCGGATAGGTACAGTGCATGGGTTGGCAAACAGTCGGACACGGCTCAACCACTAACGCTTTCACCCTAGGTGAAATTCCTGTCAACAGTGTCTAAGACTACATTCTTAAGCATCTACTCAAAGTCTCCAAACTAAGCAAATTTACTTAGCACATGCTTTTCTATGTAGTAAATAGCTTTGAAAACAAATTTGAAATACAATTTTTCTTTACAGAAGTTTCAAAGATTAAATAAATCATCACTGGAAACTAAAAAGGAATATAAAGACTATATTAGTCTCTTAAACTGAAACATACACAAGTTTTCTCACAAGGAATGTTATAAAATAAAGTTAAAGAAGTACCTAAGATAATAGTTAAAAGAAGTACCTGCTCAGTAAAAATTTCCTGTGTGAAGACAGTCTTCATCCTGCTCAAGGAGCTTGGCTTAATTACAATCTAAAACAACCAAAACACAACACTGTAAAGCGATTATATTCCAATAAAAAACAAAGAAAAGAAAGGCTCTTTTTTACCAAAAAAAAAACAAAAAAACAAAATAAAGCAACCAAAAGATTTCAGCAGGTGAAAATAAAATATAGGAAGCACAATTTGACTTAACGTTCAAATACTCTATTTCAGAAGTAGCTTCTCAAACCTAACACTAAAATGTGTTTTTCCTCAGGAACCAAATATGAAAGTACTTAGTGGGATTTCCCTTGTGATCCAGTGGCTAGACTCTGAGCTCCCAATGCAAGGGGCCCAGGTTCGATCCCTCATCAGAAAACTAAATCTCGCATACCACAAGATGTGGTACAGCCAAATATATAAAAAAATTTTTAAAGTACTCAGTAAACATATCATTACTACATTTTAAGTCAGTGGGAAGAAGTGGATTATTTAATAAATGGAGGTGAGATAGCTCTCTTTCTGGATAATACAAATAAAGATTTGCATATGACATCATACCCCATATTAACTCCAAATGTATTAAAGATTTAAATGTAAAACATGAGGCCACAAAAACACTAGAAGAAAATATAGGTGATCATTTCTATTAACCTGAGGAAAGAAAAGCACTTCTAAGCATAATAACAAAATAAGAATTACAAAAGAAATACTTAACACATAACACACATAGAAAACAATCATTTTCACATGGCAGAAAAAACTGGGAAAAATCGTCTGCAACATATTATACTTTTCCATCTTTAAGACAATAAGGATGATAATATGCACCACTGATTTAACAGTAGCTTTTCAAGTAAATAAAGAAGGGCAAACACTATCACACTAACATTATGCATCAACTATAAAATGAATCCAAGTTTCAATATATGGTAAAATATGTGTCTTGAATCAATGAAACATGATATACAAGGCATAACAGCATATCATTTATATATAAAGAGCACTTCCGAATCAGTAAAAGGAAAAATAAATCAATAAAAATCCCTATAGAAAAACTGGGACATCAATAAACCTTTTATAAAAGAAATAAACCAACTAAAACACATATATTATTTAAAAGTAGCCAAAAAAAACCTCTAAACTATAACGATAAAAAATAATAACTAGTAAAGAGATGCAAAATAAGACCATTTTTCATCAAATTTGCAAAGATTAAAAAGAATGGTAATGCCCAGTGATGGTGAGAAGTTAGGGAAATATGCACTGTCATTCACTAACGAGAACAGTTAAACTGGTATAATCTTTCTGGAAAATAATCTGACAATATTTATCAAACATCTTAACATCATCATATTTTTACTTAGCACTGCTTTCTATAACTTTATCCTAAGAAAGTAATCCAAAAAGTGTTTGAAAATATACATGTATGGATGCCTTTGTGTATATTTACATATATAGGATATTCATCTAAGCATTATTCAGAAATTAGAAAATCTACATGGCAAGTAAAGCAACCATTAAAAATGTCATGATCAGCCCACACAATAACTGCAATGCAGCCACTGAAAATTATGTTGTATCAGAATATTTATTGATACGAAGAAGTGCTCATTATATATTGGTAAGTTGATTAAAACCACTATATATATATATATACATATATATATATATAAAGAAAGAACAGATACCTAACTATTAATAGTACTTGACATCTCTGAACATGGAGTTATAGCTTTCCCTTCTTTACTGTGTTTTCTAAGTTTTCTACATAGAACACCTATTATTCTCGTAAATAACGTTCACATAACGTATTTTTTTAGAGAGCTCCTGATAAAGTTTCAAACTATTAAACAACTAAAATTACTTCAAAATGAAAACAACCTATTTACTTAACATTACAAGAAAATGTCCAGCTTAGAAACACCTTCTTTAGAAAGACGATAAGAGGAAATTACCTTCATTCCCAAAGTGGAACAGACCAAATCAATGATAGCACTGAGCTGGTTGCTATGAAAGTACATAGCGACCAATAATAACATCTCCCCAAAAGAAGCAGAGACGCCTGAAGTACTGTTGAAACAGAAAAGAAAACATGAATTTCCAAAGGAAGGTTAAGAAAACTTACTCAGCTATCTGATACAAATGAAGTCATCTTACCTTTCAAAGTAAGCTTCTTCTTTGATCATCCAGCTTAGCCACACTACCATCAGCTGCTCCTGTTCAGGAGTACTGTTAATTTAGAAAAAACATCAGAAGTCACTGGTCTAAATCAGATGTACTAGCGTAAGAATAAAAAAGCATTCTGGAATTATCTTTGGTGGAAATTATTTTTTCCTCAAATTACTTGCTTGTTGAATTGGCCATTCATTATCATTGAGATATGTAGTAGTTCTAGAGAAGAACAGAGGACCATACTTTTTCTCCATTAATATAAACAGCCAAACCCTCTCAAAGTCTCAGTTACTACTTTTGCAGGTTGGAGAGAATAAACTTCCTCACATTCCTTAGAAAAACAAAGGTTCTCTGGGATTAAAATGTTAGAAGAACTAACAGATGATACTCATTTCCTATAGAAAAAAATTTATAGTGTTGAAACTTAGTCATTAAAAACTCACAAACTGAGCACGAGGACAGAAGTCAGACTATCTTTTAGTGGGAAATGAAATTTAGTTTGCAGAGGCATTTTGAGCAGAACTCAATATTAGAAGGAAAGAGACAGCCAGGGGCTAAGCATATATGAAGAATGGTAACAGAAATACATGAACACTGACTTGTTTAAAGCAAATTCCTAGGTTTAGGTTGAAATGCACAGGTCAATTCTGATCTGTAATAGTAATTTTCATTGATCCTCTTCTACTTCACCGCAGTGTAAACAGGAAAAATAAAAAACAACCACAAAGCCTGATACCCAAAACTAAGAAAATTAAAAAGGTTATGCTCAACCATACATAAATTACTCTACTTATAAAAGACAATGTTATGTAGTAGAAAGACTACAGCCTTTAGAGTCTGCCAGACCTGACTGGGAATCTTATCTCTGCCAATTACTGTTAGTGTGACCTTGAACAAGAAATTTAAATAGTCTTCTTGTACTTTAGCTCTCCTACCTATAAAATATAAATAAATATACACCCACCTTACAGAAGTAATGAAGATTAGAGATAACGCTTAGAAATTACTTTAGGTATTATATAAGTATACAACTGAATCACTCTGCTATATACCAGCAACTAACACAACACAGTAAACTGACTATACTTCAGTAAAATAAACTTTCTAAAAACTTTTATTTATTTATTTGGCCACAAAGGATCTTAGTTGTGGCATGTGGGATCTAGTTTCCCAACCAGGGAGCGAACTTGGGCCCCCTGCATTGAGAGTTCAGAGTCTAGCCACTGGATCACAAGGGAAGTCCCAAAAATAAACTTTTTAAAACAAGAAATTACTTCAGGTAAAGAGAAAACACTTCATGTACTTAGTTTCACGTATTCCTAAAACACACCACTCAAATTACATTAAAGGGATTTTCTTAAAACACACAAGATGCACAGGATGATGAAGGACAACACCACAAAATACTGGGGAGCTGCAGCCAGTGCGGAGGGGGAGTAGCCGACTAAGCAGACCAGGAACGCAGAACACTAAACCGGCAGGAGGGAAAACCAACCACCACTCACACCACAGAATCCCCAGGGCTCAGGAACTGGCCCCTCCAGGCAGTTTTGGGAGTGAGAATGAAGACAGACTAAATGCAGACAGTCTGTATAAGCAGTGGCCCGCCCTCCAAACCAACCCTCCATTCTGCCATCCCCCAGCAGAAAGGAAACAAGACTGATTCTCTGGAAAAGGTAAAAGAGGGTATTGCTGAACTGATGGACAACCAGGGCTTTCTGGAGCGCCTTTTGGAAAGTAGAAGAATTAAGTAAACAACTACAATGCAGGCTGAGATCTCCCAGCCCTTAACCCTCACTTTTTAACTTGGCTTATGGATTTCCTGTCAGGCCTTCGCTCTCAGGCAAGAAAACAGTCTTTTCCAAGACTCTGAAAAGTCCAAGAGCTTCTCATTTATGCGTTCAGAAGTTCTAACTTGCCTTTTAGTCTCCTACTCTTAAATATGAACAATCAAGCATTATTAAACCTCTGAGAAAAATAGAGACCAAGAAAAAAAAAGGGCAGAAAAAAAGAAACTTAAAGAAACAGTACAAATAAGATCCCTTCAATCATTATGGGTAGTATCAGAGAAACCATGCCACCATGAAGCAGCAGACACTATAAAGAAGAAATAAGAAGAATAAAAATGAGCTCTTAGATGTTAAAAACTAGATGGAAGACAAGATTGAGAAAAAAATCCTAAAAGGTAATATGAGCAATATCTTTTTGAAGTGATTGAAATGTTCTAAAATTAGATTGTGGTAATGGCTGTACAACCTTGTAAATATACTAAAACCTATTAAATTGTACACTTTAAAGTGGGTGAATTTTATGGTATGTAAACTGTGTCTCAATAATGCTGTTTTTTAAAAAGCAGAACAAAACAAAAATAAGGAAAGTAAGAAAGAATAAGATGATCACTTCAGTAAGCCCAATATCAAAACAAGAGGAGGTTTCAAACAGAGAAATCCATGTGAAAGCAAATTAGTTCACAGACATTTCCTACAACCGACCAATGTGAGTTCCCAGGTTGAAAAGGTTAACTAAATACCTAGGAGAAAGGACAAAAACAGACCCATACGAAAGCACATGACCCAGAAATTTCAAAACCCTAGAAACAAAAAGCTAATCCTTCATGTTCCCATATTTTAAAAAAACAAGTCACAAAAAAAGGACCAGAAATCAGAATGTTACCAGATTCCTCAACAGTAACACTGGAAGTTAGAAGACAATACAGCAAGACTTTCAAAATTCTCAAAGGAAATTATTACCAACTTAGAACTCTATACCCCATCAAACTATCAACCAAGTGTTAAAGTAGAATAAAGACATTTTCAGAAATAGCCCATCCCTAAATAATTTACCTCCTACATACCCACTCTAAAGAAGCAAAATGAGGGAGCAAATGAAAAAAGATGGAGACACAAGATGCAGGAAATAGGAGACCCAACAAAGAAGAGTTAAAGCGAGTCCCCAAAATAATAGTGAAACGCAATTCCAGGATGAGACCTGTGTATATGGTGCAGAGGCAACCAGTTCAGATGTGAGGGAGTCAAAACGCTTCAGGACAGACTGCATCAAGAAAACGAAACAAACAGAATAACTAACGAGCCTGAACATCTTGAGAGGAGGGTTAGATTGGCAGAGAGTTTGAAACTGCATTAATCTAAGTACATAAAACACCAAGCAAATGAAAAACAAAGAACAAAAGCAAACAGGACAATTCTTAATGGAAAAACATGTTTTGCATAAGAAAAATAATCATCTACCGCTTGGCTGAGCTCCCAAGAGTGTAACATAAACAATAACGTACTGATCAAAGCAAAATAATAACTATGTACAGGGAGAATGGAGAGATACGAAGGATACAGAGAAGGTTGAGGACAGAGAGAAGGAGAACTAATTCCTCATTCTCATAGTGGGACGTCAACGAATACTCCTAAAACAAAAAAATCAGGATGTAGCAAATACAAACACAGTAATAAAGATGTGAGAGTCAAAACCAAAAGAATCACCCAAAAGAACTGAAAGAAGCTGCCTCTAGGGAAGTAGAAAACAGGGCAAAAGGGAATCAGGACTACCATTTGTCTCAAATCTTGAAGAGCTACTTTGAATCCATTAAATATATGTATATGAAAATTTGGTAAAGACAAACAAAAGAACTGGCATACAGGAGATGCTACTGATACCCTTTAATTAAATAATAATACCAATGTCCATACCTAGATCATTTTTGCAGTAAGTTAACTAATTCTATACATTGTTTTTTAAATAAATAAACAAAAGCAGACCTTGGGAAAATAGAACAACTATACAGTTGGGTACCTGACAAGGGTAGAAAAGGCCAGCAGCATACAAAAGGAGAGTGAAACAAAGCGAACCCCAGCTGGTGTCGCAGGAGGACGGCTTGTCATCAACTGCAGTAATTGCTCAGCTTCTTCCTCAGTTGGTCTAAAAAATGAATACACTATTAGCTTTTAGTTTTTTCAGTTGAGAGAAGGAAGAAGAGGGGACTTCTCAACAGTTCAACCTTTCAGATACAAATCCTGAGCTCTGGAATGATATCTCACTATTCACAAAATCTATAACATCTTAAGATGTCAAAAGCAAAACTGCTGAGTTTGCAACCAGTGTCTTCCTCAGACACAAATACAGGTAGTCCTCACTTTGCATGGTAGTATGGGACCATAAAAATAACCATGCAAGCTGAAACTGCATCATGATCTTAATAATCAGTGGGGAAAATTACAACCGTTCCATTACCTTTAAAATTTCTGTCAAGACATTACAAACTCTGTTGGTTATAATGCCTAAGGAAACTTTTTAAAACAGTAAAACTAATATTTATATAGCATGCTACAATTGATTATATTAGAAACATCAGGAATTCAAGTGTTGTCTTTATAAGATACATCAAGAGTATTTTAAACAGCCCTTTCCATTCTCTCATTGTATAACTTGTAGAGTGAGCATCTTCTCTAGGCCTTGATGAATCGTCACACCCTTCCTTTCTCAGTGTGGGTCAGCTTCCAGCGTTCCATCCTGTGTACCCTCAGCCACGGAATGCCTGAGTTCCTCTAATGCAAAGACTTCTGCTACTGATCAGTCTTCTGGACGTCTTCATCCTTTTGGTCACAATGACTTCCCTCAAGTTCACCTTCACCAAATTCATCTGGCTATAATACCCAGGGCCTCTCAAATGTCAACATTCTCAGTCAACTATTTCTTTATATTTGGTTCAAATGTCACTTCTGCTGTTAACCACGTCCTCTTTCTTTGCTACACTTTCATTTTTTTTGGCCAATTCCCTCTTTCAATTATTCACTTATGCAAAATATCGCATGGGTTTATTCATGGAGAGACAAGGAGGCAGCACTCCTACCCAACTTTGCTGTCTGCTCATGAACTGAGTGATAGTTGTATATGGACCAGCTGCCAAAAGACTTTAAAAGAAACCCTGTGATTGGTCATTGATCACAATGTGCCTCCACACAATGACATGTGGCTTGAAGTTTTCAGTAAACTTTGTACTTTGATTAATGATAATAAATAAGAATTTGGTAAATGAACCACGGCAACTGATACATCAGTTGTTGAGGGAGCAGTGTCATTTGACTAAAGTATGTTAACTGAAACTCATATGTATTGGAGTCATGAAAAGTGAGAACTATATGTATAACAGTTGAGGACATTAAGCAAAAAGATATAGTACTGTGTCTAAGAAATCTTGTGCTTAATAATTACAGATCAACTTTGAAAAATCTATGATCTCAGTTGTAAAAGGAAACAGGGCAGATTGACTTCAGCTAGCTGTATAGGTTACATAAAGGATCCCTCTCAGATCATTCATACAGTCATGTCAAGCTGTGGGCAAGTCACAGGTTTCTAAAACTGTTCTGGCTCCTCCCATATTTATATAATTCTATTTACGATCAGACTAAAATAGATGCATACATCCAAACTAGGAAAGTTCTCCCTTGGGACTTTCTTCTTGACATAGGTCAACTTACTAGTTGAGCCCAACAGAAAACCCAAATCCTCTGAATAAAAGGCCCATGGCTCACTTTCTTGGGATTAGAAACAAGAAAGTAAAATGACAAAAAGGTAAAAGATCAAATTATTGAATACTTGAGTCCAGCGATCCCCATCAAAGCACAGTACAGACGTAAGAGTGCACTGGCTTTCACAACATGCTCTTCTTTCAGCCCCGAATACACAGACACATTGGGCTCCATCTCCACATCAGCTTCTTCCACAATGCGGGTACTTCTTACTGTGGGAAGAATGCCCATCAACTCCAGAAGAAGCTGCCTTCTCATTTGCCAAAGGACAGAACTACTGGTCTCTCTTTTTCTCTGCAGGAAATATGGACCACAAAAGGAAGAAAGCATGGAGCACTTACTAAGTCAAAAGGACGTTCAAACAAAGCCCTCAGTTAGACACCCATAAATGATCCATTTGAAAATGAAAGTCGCTCAGTCATGTCCAATTCTTTGCGACTCCATGGACTATACAGTCCATGGAATTCTCCAGGCCAGAATACTGGAAAAGGGAATGGCTACCCACTCCAGTATTCTTGCCTGGGAAACCCTTGGACAGAGGAGCCTGGCAGGCTACAGTCCATGGGGTTGCAAAGAGTCAGACACAACTGATTAACTAACACTAACACTGCTCACCCTAATTTGGGCAGGTTATACAGAAAATACTAAATGAATGATGATTTGAAATGCAAAATATCATGTAAATGATGATTTCAAACACATAAAGACTAGTGGAGTCTTAAGTACAAAGTGCTCAGATTTGGGGCTTGGATTTAAACAACAGCCCTGCTATTAACTAACTATGTACGTTTAGATACATAAGTTAACCTCTCTGAGCCCCAATTTCCTTAAATGAGAAGGAAACTAATATTGGATTAACAATATTTAATTCCCAGGACTGCTGGAGCTAGTTTATACGTCACAGCTCTTCAGGCAGTGACAACATCTACTCATGCTCAGGAGGGCCTGATACATCATGCCTGACATATATCAAGCACTCAATATCTGTTAGATGAATGAACTAACAAAGATGATAAATATGAAAGCATTTCTAAACTACAAAGGGCTCGGGAAAAGTTGTTATTTTTAGAGTGTTTCAGAGTAAAATATGGTAAATGTTGTTTTAAAACCAATATTAGACACAAAGAACAATTACAAACAAGAGGCTTATACCAAGAGCTTAGCACAGTGCCTGAAATATGCAAGGTACACAAAAAATGTCAACCTCTTGCAAACGTTCAAATTAGTTTTAATTAAGTAAATTAATTAATTAATTAAATTAGTTTTCAAATGGATTATAAGAAGAACTTGGATAAAGAAAAGCATGGTGAATTAATAGCATAAAAAAACAGACTCTAGAAGGATCTAAGCAGTACACCTGCTATGTCAAGTTCACAGACCTCAACAAGTTAAAAACCATTCTGCATTATTAGTTCCTGGGTAGGGACAGAACTCTGTTCACAGTTATCATGAGATGTTTTTCAAAAAAGTACAATATTTTGCAAGTTAAAAACTCTTGTAAAATATAATATATATTCATCAATAAAGGGATACATGTAATAGATACATACAATAAAATATTAGGCTTAGAAAGGAAGGAAATTCTTACACTTGCCATAACATGTATGAACCTTGAAAACATTGTGCCAAGTAAAAACAAGCCAAACGCAAAGTGAGAAATATTGTATGATTCCACTTACACGAGGTACCTAGCATGGGCAAATTCATAGATAGAGAAAGTAGAAGAGAGATTACCCAACACTGAGAGGAAGGGGGAATGGGAAATTATTGCTTAATTGGTAGAGAGTTTCTATCAGACGATGAAAGAGTTCCGAAAATGAACAGTGGTGATTGCTGCAGAACACAGTAAATGTAATTAATGCCACTGAACTGTGCACTCAGACAAGGATTCAAATGGTAAGTTTTATGTTATATACATTTTACCACAATAATTTACACATGTGTGTGTATATATATGAATCATAGACTACAATAACAACTTATGGTGATGACCTAATATAGCAGTTCTCATGTGTCTGACCCAGAAATCTGGAGATGAACAATATACTTCCAGGGGGTCCAGAAAGTCAGAAATCTCTCAACATTACAGACCTTTTTTACTCATTTTCCCACAAGTATATAGCGTAGCTTTTCCAAAGACTTCTATTAAGCCAGATGTTAAAGAGATTTGCAAAAATGTACAATATCACTCGGTAAATGTTTCTTTTGCAAAAAAATTAATTTTCTATTAAAAAAATGTGGTCACATTTAATAAGATTAGGATTATTTTTTAATGAATTAAATAAATATTTCAAAAATTTAGTATGGTAAATATCAACAGATAAAGGCCAACATAAAAGCTCTTTGTGTCCTCAATGATTTACTGTAAAATCTCAGGAAGTCCTGAGACTAAGAAGTCTGAGAGCCACTGGCCTAATGACATCTTTCTAAAAGTGTTTCTTCCTCCTTTACTAACTACTAACATAGCTTGATCCTTGACCTAAACACACATTTCTCCCTCACCTGCTGTCCATTTCGGATAAAAGTTCCAAACCAGGTCCGGACTTTTGCATTTGTTCCAAGAAGCAAACCACTAACAAAACAAACCAAGTCACTCACTCCATCTTCACTGGCTTCATTTTTAGTATGATCCAATGTCAAAGCCACTCCAAGACCTGGCAAGTGACATTCTTCCACCTAACAAAGCAAAGAAAACAAACTGAACTCAGTATCATAAAGAAAAGGGCCAGGATGATCCAGAATCTGAAGCATCTAAAGTTTAGGGGAAGACATAGCACAAAGCACAAAAACCTAGAGAGGAAGGTAATATATCTGGTATATAACTATAGTTCCAAATCTCTGCAAGATTCAAAAAAAAGTTCCTGGTCCTAAAATAAAGGCTCTGGTCTCGTAAAAATAGTAAGATCTCTTACCACCATGCCTCGGACCTTCAGGGCCTGAGAAGGATTCATTTTACATAAGAAGCGTAAAGCATCCGTCCTCCGCCTTCCTCCAAGACTCTCTTCATCTTGTCGTTCTCCATTTTTGATCAGGCCCCTACAAACTAAACATTTAGTAGCCTCTGTTACTTTAAGCTTTGTAAGTAAGATGTCAGAATCAATGTTTTCAGCCTTGAGAATCATTCATTTACACAGATTAGATATTACAAAAGAAAAGGATCAGGAAACTTGAAAGCATAGCAATAGAAACTGGTTAAAATCCAGCAGAGTGAAAAGAGCCTCAAAAAATGAAGTGATCCGTGGAACATCAAGTAGTTCAACATACTTGTAATTAGAGTCTCAGAAAGAGAAAGAGAATGAAAGACAAACATATATTTGAAGAAACTTTTCCAAACTTGATGAAAACTATAAACCTAGAAAATCGGTGAAACCCAAGCAGGAGAAACACAAAATCATAACAAGATACATCATAATCCAATCTCTGAAAACCAGTGATGAAGAAAAAATCTTAAAAGTTGCCAGAAAGGATAAAAAAATAAATAAATAAAAGTAGCCAGAGGGAAAAAAGAAACATACAGAGGAACAGAGATAAAAACGACCACAGCCAAGAGAATAACATCTCTAAAGAGCTAAGAGAAAAAGTCAACCTAAACCTTCATGGAATAGCCAGTAAATCTCTTAGAAACAAAAAGAAAATAATATTAATACTTCCATTTCACAAGTAACAAGTTAAGTACCTTGATGGAGATCACACAAAGAGTGAGCCACAAAGTCAGAAATTATGAACCCCAGATCTAGCGCTTTTTTCTCCTTGACTCACAATTCGCAAAACATCTTGCTCAATAAATGTAATTTTTATATCACTCAGACCCAAACCACAATCTTCAGTCACTAGCAATTTGAAACAGGTGAAAATTTTAGTTGATTTTTCGCAATTTCTACCCTATACTTTTCTGCAAAATGACAGCAATAAGGCTAAAACATGGAAGTCTGACTGTTGGTATTTCTAATCCATATAGCTCATGTTACCCTCTGGCTATTTCACAGATAAATGTCCTCTCCTCTTTGTTCAATGAGCACAGAAATTATAGCTTCTAGGTCTTAAATACTTTTTACTTCCCTATTATAGCACTGGTGACAAATGCAAAAAACAAAAAAATGCTGCATACTCATTGTACTTACATTTGTAATTTCTAAACAGTTTTGAATTCTCTAAACTCGGTATTTCTACAACTGTTTATTGTTTAGTCACTAAGTTATGTCTGACTCTTTGCAACCCCGCGTACTGCCAGGCTCCTCTGTCCATGGGATTTTCCAGGCAAGAGTACTGGAGTGGGGTGCCATTTCATTCTCCAGGGGATCTTCCCAACCCAGGGATCAAACCCACATCTCCTGCACTGGCAGGCAGATTCTTTACCACTGAGCCACTTGGGAAGCCCATTTCTACAGCATTCACTAATAAATTTTCAAAAAATAAAATCTCAGATAAAACCTTATAAATGTTTCCTCTTAGCTCAAAAAATAGGTCTCACACATGCCAAACAAATCTCTTCAATATCCCTTTTTGTTGCTGCTGTTGTTTTCTTTTCTTTTCTTTTGTTTTTGGCCATGCTGCACAGCAAATGAGATCGTGGTTCCCTGACCAGGGATCGAACCCACACCCTCTTCACTGGAAGCATGGAGTCTTAACCACTGGGCCACCAGGGAAGTCCCCAATATTTCACTTTAAAATTGCATTTACCTTCATTAAAACTATCAGGAACATTGGCCACCAACAGACACAAGAACCAGGCGCCGTTTCTAACATGGAGCAAGGCTTCAGCTACATCAACTATGGGAAGCAGGGAAGGGAGCTCTGTAAGAAAACAAAATCAGTGTTATTACTAAAGAGTGATATTTCAGTGTATTATACATTAAACATCTTTGACATTTCACCAATGTTATTTAAAAACAATTAAATTAAGGTACTTACTTTTCACAGTCTCAAGCTGACTTGTCCAGTAGGACAGCCACTAGCCACATGTGATTATTTAAATTAAGTTAAAAATAGGTCCGCTCCTCAGTCACACTTGCCACATTTCAAGTACTCCATAACTGCATGTGGCTAGTGGCTACTGTACTGAACACACTATACAGAACACTATCATCGCTGCCGTGGTGGACGGCGTTAGTCAAAGAAGTTACTTTCATGAAAAGTTTCTCTGCATTTCTATATCTTCTATTTTTCATTCTGATCATGCACACTTTTTATAAAGAACCAAAAAAGTACAAAAAGCACAAAGAATAAAAATAAAATCAGCTCTAATCCCATCACTCAAAGTTAGTAATTTGCAAGATCTGACTTTAATCCCCCATGGGCATCACTGTACTTTTAACAAAACTGGGATTTTATTCTACTTACCATTTTGCCACCTGCTTTTTTTCATTTAACATATATTGTGAACATTTTCCAAAATGATTAAAGTTCTTCAAATACACACCATTTTAATGGCAGCAGAGTGCACTCTACCATGGAAATAACATAATTTATTTAATCACTGTGCTACTATTAGTCATTTTGACCTAAACTTTTAAGGTATACACTTAATTAGGTGAACTTTCAAATAACACAATATTCCAGGTTAAGAAGATACACAGTTATCGTTTAACAGGAACATTTAACTGCATCTGAAATATGTCTTAGCATTCATTATAGTACCTGCTTGTAAAATACAAAGTACATCTGCAGCTTCCTCCAAGTAGACTGGACTCTCAAATAGCTCAGATGATTTAAAAAAAAATTCTCCACTGGACTCAGATACCTTAAAAGGAAAGAAAGAAAAATGATGAGCTCTCTTAATTTCAGGTAATGAATTGGATCCCCTACTATGCTTGCAAGTATTTGCTGAGCTTACAGACCATGTCTCTTAATAGCCATTAATATACTGTAGAAGAATATGCAGGACTGGATGAATTTGTACCAATTTAACCACAATTAGTCAGTCACACTACTATTCCAGACATGCAGTATAAGTCTGACTAATTTATTTCTATATAAATATTTGGAGACATCTGAAGTTAAAGACAAGCCAAAGAAATGAACTAGGAATGCTACCTAGGTCACTTATTTCATTACAGCCATTAAGAAAAAGATATAGGAAAATATTAGTTAAAATTAAAAGATTATCAGGAATTCCCTGGAAGTCCAGTGGTAAGGATTTCATACTTTCACTATCAAGGACCCAGGTTCAATCCCTATTCAGGGAACTAAGATCACACAAGCCACATGGCACAGCAAAAAAATAAGAAAAATAAAAAAGGAAAATGAAAAAGAAAAAATTAAAGATTATGAGTACATAGGGAAAAGAGTTGAGGTAAATTAACTTTGTAATAGGAAAAAAAATTAAGATTTATAACATATCTTAAAAAAATAAAATAAAAAAAGATTTATAACATATCTTAAAAACTATCTAGAACTAAACAAATCTCTCCCTTATCAGTATTTTCTTTGGAAACAGAATTTAGGTTTTATTGGTCCACAATTTATAAAATTAAACTTTATTATAAAGTAACTGACCTTGAGATTTTCAAAGTAAAAAACATCTGTTTCTCAAATTCTGAGCTCCATCTCATATAAGACATCTTAATATGAAGATCCAATTTGTATGATAACTCCTGACATTCACAAATTTAAAATTCAGAGTTTCTAGTTCCTGATCGGGGATCGAACCCATGCTCTCTGCTTTGGGAACACGGAGTCACAACCACAGGACTGCTGGGGAGGTCCCTGCTCATAACCTCCTTAGAGAACTTGTCTAGCTGCTTGACATCTGCCTGATTGCTGGGTGTTTGATTAATATTTATGTATCATGAAATAAAATTACATGTCACTGACCCAAAAAAAAATAAAATAAAATAAAATTCAGAGTTTCAATTAACCATCATCACCCAAAGTCCTCGACCTAATCTCTGTACACCTGAAATAAAACACTGCAAATTTTCAATAAAAATAAATAAAGTAACATCTTTTTGCTGAGACAAAAGGCTGAATAACCTTCATTAGTACACAGAAACTATTCAGTCATCTAGTGAGTAAGGCTAGCCAAATATCCCACATCCAATTCAGCCTCAATATTCCCCACTCAGTTATGTATGATGTATGTAATTCACTCAGTATCTAAAGGAAGCACACACATTTTTAAGAATCATGTACATACTTCACATATTTTCTGGGGGAAATCATATCCTATAGAGTTATTATCAACTTTGGTGATTTACAAGTCTTGAGCTATGTATCTATTAAGAAATCAGCGTATGGATTCCATACAGAAAAAAAAAAAAAAACACTTGATGATAGAGAATGCAGAGCAGGCAAAAATGAGAGAAAACAGTAATTATAAAACAGCCTTCAAAAGGAGGCATTTAATATCTGTTCAAGCCTTTGAAAGGAAGACACCTGATTAACAAAGAGGATATGTGTCCAAGAGGATGCAAGCTGCCTGCCTTCCTGCCTATTTCTACCTTTTCTTTTCTTTTTTTGGCTGCATCAGGTCGCAGTTGCAGTACATGGGCTTAGTTGCCCCTGGCATTTGGGATCTCAGTTCCCTGACCTGAAATCAAACTTCCCCTGCACTGGAAGGCAGACTCTTAACCACTGGACCACCAGGGGAGTCCAGCCTGTTTCTATCTCTTATGTGTAGACATCAAATCATGCATATTTTGATCTGTGATTAAAATAAATGCACCTTGTTCATAATTGCCAACAGTTCACTAAGCACAAGACGCAGTCGACGAGGTGAATCGCTGTGTTCAAACTCTAAAGTCAGTCCATGCTGAAGCTGTGAGACCAGGATGCTCTCTCCACTGCCTCCTCCAAGTTTATGCCTAATAAAGTTCACACGTGTAAAACAATTATGAGAACACTGGCACAGAAATAAAAGCATAAACACTATCTTTTATAGAAATAATCTACAAAAGAATGTATGAATTCTTTTGATATATTTCATGAATGTATTACTTCTGAATACTATTTTGTCTATTTCAGAGAGTCACAACCTGTGTAAAGACTCCAAGCATAACTGACAGGTTAACACCTACTTCCATCAATAACAGTGGCTCACAACCATCCACAATGGGCAAGGAGGGACAAAGTATGCCTCGAATTTGGGGAACTCAATGTAAGCTTAACAAGCCTCGCAGGAGACTCCAATAAACCCTTTTGCTCTAGGGGAACTTACTCTATCCGCTTCCCACTGAGAGTAATTGGCCTAATGATTTTAGCCTGCATACAACATTTGTTTAGTCGCTAAGTCAGCTCAGACTGCTTTTGCAACTTCATGGACTGCAGCCCGCCAGGCTCCTCGGTCCATGGGATTTCCCAGGCGAGAATACTGGAGTGGGTTGCTGTCTCTGATTCTAGGGGATCTTCTCGACCCAGGGGTTGAACCGGCGTCTCCTCCATTGGCAGGCAGGCTCTACCATCTGAGCCACCAGGGAAGGCCTGAATACAAATGTATACACAGCCAAGGTTCTCAGCACATTTCACAATGCAGAATTCAAATGATCTAGAATTTTAATTATAAATATAAAATAACTTAAAAAAAATGCTCTCCAAAGTTTAGAGTCCCAATCTTCTCTTTTTTGGAAGAATGCACTGCAATAAGAAGCCCTAAAAGCTCAAAAAAAAATTTATTTCCTCCCTTTTTTTTTTAGCATATCCAAGTAAATACCAACCCACATATTATACAATATTCATTACCTAAGCTGTTGCTCTTTGCTGGCATCCTGTTCTAAAGCATGAAAGTCCACAGACAGCAATGCAACAATAGAATTGACAGCTTCCACTCCAGAGAGAAGACGAAGGATAAGTTTTTTATCCTGGGCCCAGCTCTGGCTCTGGTCAGCAGGTGCACAAAGTGCCATCCGCACCAAGCAGGGCAGGAGAAGTCTCAATTCTGGATCACTTAAAGATGCCAAACGAACAACATCCACCTTCTGCATTGCCTCAAAAGCAAAAGGACTGACAAACTGAAGGCTTGTACACTCGGTCATTATCACTGTTGATCCTAGTGGTTAAAAAAAGAAAAAGAAAAAACGATGATGTCTGGTAGAAACCAATGCAATACTGTAAAGTCTTACAGTAAATGCAATACTCATAAATCCTTCAATTAAAAATAAATAAATAAATTTTTAAAAGGATTTTTTTTTTTAAAGCAAAGTAAGTAGGGGTGTAACTGCACATATAAGAATGCCCCTCTTTTTAAAAACTCTGAAAAATGTGGTTTATCTTATATGTTGGCAATATTCCTGGCACAATTACTAACTCCTTACACTTCTACTGCCATCTGGAAAATGAGAAAGAAAACAGTATATTAACGTCTTCCAGCCTTGGGGATCTTCTGTTCTAATATTCTCATTTTGCAGAGAAAGAATAGGAAAGCCAGACAGATTAAGTAACAGGCCCAGAGGAGTATTACTAGTCGGCGGCAAAATCTAAAGCTGAACCCTCCTCTACTAAATCCCAGTGCAACACCTTCCCCACTATAGCAGTCATCTGAGGGCCACAATCCAAAGTAAAAGAACAGCATAACTAACAATGCTAGTCTTCAATACCTCTTTAGTTTCGCATGCCTATCCAGCACATGTAAAGAACTGTTAGGTTTCTCTTTCCCACCCTCCACGAGTTGGTAGAAGCACTGGTAAACTGCCTAACCAGCCAGAAGCTATGCCAGCTTCAAAGCTCTGGAGACTAGAATTCTATCCTATATCCCCTATGTTACTAGGTTTAAAAAAAGAGAGAGAGAAAAGAAAACAGCTGCGGAGGTGCAATTAGCTCCTAACAGAAAGGAGAAATCCTGAATCCCACTTGAGCACTTCTCAAGAGTAATCAGAAACAAAAAGTTAGTAGCCAAAGCCATCGCCTCTGAGACCCATAGACTAGCAGAACCATGCGTAACGAGAGCCGTGGGCAGAAACGTTCTGCTTTTCAGCAAGAGGAGCTGGCCTTTTAACAGAGGGGCGGGCTGAGAGAGCAGAGGCGAGGAGACCTGAGCGCTCATAGGTCTCGCCCCCGGGCGTAACGTGAACCAACCAGTCCCTCCGCTGGAGAAAAGTCGGGCCGGTGGCGGACACGGACCCCGAAACGCTCCGAGGCCTTAGAAGCGGGAGCTTCATACCTTCAGGTCTACCCTCCGGCCTCCCGGGACCCCACCCGGATTCCGCGCCCTACAGGCGGGGCGCGGTAGAAATCGAGAGCGCGGTCCGAGGTTGGGCCTAGGCGAGAAACCCGGCTTCCCCAGCCCTATAGCTCTGCCTTGAGTCGACCTGGGCACCAAAAACCCCACACGTCGGGATCAGTCAGGCCGGCGGCGCGACGGGGGCTGGATGGGGACACCGCGCAAAGGCAGAGCCTGGACTGCAGGGACGGGAAAGCTGAGGAGACTGTTTCCACCCGCTCGCAGCACCTTCATTCATCCCCAGCGTCTGGCTCCGGTCGGCCACCGTACTGGACTGAGAGGAAGGCTGGCTGCGAGAGGACACCCGGAGGCGTCGGCGGTGACGCAGCGGCGCGCGTGCGCGGCCCCGCCCCTTCCTCCGCCTCCGTTCGCGCTACTTCACCCTGGAAGGCGTAGGGTCGTGCTGTTTCCAGTCTCCTTTCCAGAGCATACCAGCTGAATCCCTTTATCTAAATCATTAAGCCTCTCCGTGCTGCCTTGTCATCATCAACGGATTACTGTGCCATTCAAATGACAGCGTTATGTAAAATGTTCAAGTTGCCCCACTGTTCAGTTGGCCAGAATGGCCAGATGGAACCAGTTACACCGTTCCATCTCTGCTTCTGCCTTTCCAGCACCGCAGTTCTAGAATCCTGGGGTTTGCAGGAGAATTTAAAAAGTAATCTAACTCTGAAGCATTATTCTGCTCTTCATCTCAAAACACAGTCATGAGTTAAACATCGCTATTTTGGGTTCTCAGGAAGCATAGATCTTTCGTGGGCGATGGATGGCATTTCAGGAGTTCTCTAGAATCCCTGCCGAATTGTGAATTCTTGAGCTTCTTCTGGAAAGAGGGTCCAAAACTTTCAACAACTTCTCAAAAGAGTTTGGACCACCCAGAAGACCAAGAACTTCTAGCCTGTATATATTTGCATATTATTTCTGTTTTCTGGTTCAGTCCATATGTATTTAACACCTTCTATTCACCAGATATTATGCGAGGTACTGAAACAAAAATATTTTACAGAGATAAAATACTTCATGCTTTATGTTCAGTTCAGTCACTCAGTCGTGTCCTACTCTGCGCCCCCATGAATTGCAGCACACCAGGCCTCCCTGTCCATCACCAACTCCGGGAGTTTACTCAAACTTATGTCCGTCGAGTTGGTGATGCCATCCAGCCATCTCATCCTCTGTCGTCCCCTTCTCCTCCTGTCCCCAATCCCTCCCAGCATCAGGGTCTTTTCCAATGAGTCAACTCTT